ATTCCGATATTGACACGATATTCGTACAATATTCATACGATATTCGTACGAGATTCAAACGATATTCATACGATATTCGTACGATATTCCGATATTCATACGATATTCGTACATATATAAAAAATCACACCACAACAGCTCCTAGAACATATATAGTTCTGATTGCTGTACAAACAAAAAACCAAAAATCCAGATTTTGAAGATGCAGATCTATTTGATTTGAAAATGATTTATTGTCCTTTCGATCAAGGGCACAGTTGGATACCTTTTGATAAACTATCGAATAGTGTTCCTTTCATTAAAAAATTAAATGGATGTAGTCTTTTGGTTCTGAAGTTATATAAAGACATTAGATAGTCGAAGCGTTAAATAAAACACAATGTTATGTGGGTGAATTGAAGTTTTCTTATGTATTTGTATGCCATAAGTACCTACAAGATAGCTACATGGGCGTCCGCTCAAGACATTGCTCGGTCTTTGCTCGTTTCAATTTCAAGCGAAATTGCAACATCTATAATAAAATAATAATACATAATAAAGATAACAGAAATATCTATAAAATGCGGATGTACAAATATAATGAAAATGAATAAAATATAATGATGTACATTCATTAGAACTTGTTCATGTTCAATAATTTGGTATTTTTAATTACTTGATATTTAGTATTATTAAAGTTATTATTTATGGGCAATAGTACAGCCAATGCATAAAAACTAAATAATGTTTAAAAGAACAGACTGAACTTAATGAGCATTTATACAATTCTATTAGTTTGTATATTACATTATTCATTAAAACCAATATTATGTATAACAGTACAATAAAAATACAAAAAGGCAAAAATAATCTGTAAATCAATAATAGAATAAATAGATGAGTTTAGTTTACACAAGAAACACTGCAGTCGGCACTGTTCAGCACCAAACATGTAACTCTAGATAGAACAAACATTTGTGAGATGGGTTTGTAGAATAAACCAATGATTGAAAACTGTTTAAAAAAGATCTAATGAGAAGTATACAACCTCATAATTAGAACTATTTTTGAAATAATGTTAGAAGTAACTCGTTCAGTTTGTCATTTGAAATAATTTTTAACTTCTCGTAGGGTAAGTTATTGTAATCGTCCAAAAATCAAAATTGAAAATGTTTACATTTCTTCACGTTTTGAAGGTTTCTGAACATTTTGGCATACCTCAGAAAAAAATGGACGTGTGTGTGTATGTACGTATGGATACAATTTTTCGTTCGCGTTTTCGGGCGCACGGATCAACTGATTTGAATAATTTGAGAACCATTCGATTCCTATTGATAGGGAGATGTGCTGATTTGTTTTTGGGAAAGGCTGGTAGACATATATAAGTTACAGTATTTAAAAAATATTCTATTTAAAAACATTTAATTTTCCTCGAATATATATAATTACGGTACGAGAAGTTTCAAAAATTTGCCTTAAAGCACAATGCCCTTCACCACTAGTTTTAATTATATAACCTGTCTGATTTTAAAGGTTGGAATAATGTTGGAGAAGATTATTTCGTATGATATTTTTGATAAAAATATTTTTAACTCAAATGCTAATATATAATGGTAGTGTGACTAAATTAGTGTATAATTTTTTGGTTATAATACTTATTTTATATGAAATAAAATTTTGAGGGTTAATTATACATAAATAATACGCATTGATCTGAGTTTTTGACTACCATGTCGTATTCAGATAATTTATTATTCGATTAAAAACCGGCTTCGTGGTTCAACTTTTACCACATGCTGTATTTCAACAAATTTGAATGGCGAATTATCGAATAAACCTTCTGACTAATACACAGATATTGATATATCAATATTGAACGAATGAATTACAACGAAATAAACGCTAAGTTAAGAGACAAAATTATACGTTTATGAAATTAATCATTACTGCAGTTTAAATATTTTTAGTCCAGCAATTTTAGAATTTTTATAAACAGATTACATTAATAAATATTCTGGAACGCGTATTAACTAATATTTATACTAGTTAAATTAATTTACAGTTCTTTACAATAATGTTTATTTAGTTTGTAGAAATAACTCAACCAGATGCCGGATGCATGTGATTGTTTTGAGTCGGCTGTTAATTCACAGTAATTCAATAGTTAAATACAATTTCTATTATATTGCGATGTTTGGCATATATAAATGATAAATTATATATATATATATATATATATACTAGAAGGACCGGTAGACGTTGTCCTGTATCTACAATTCAAAAGTTTTAAATATCCTATTTGATTCATTTGTGATTCATTTATGGTCTTAGCTTAAGCAGTATAAAAAATTCAGAAAAGAATAATATAGTATCTGCGGTAAAACAATATCACACTTGATTTTACCATACAACATAATTGCTTCAATAATTTAGTCTATAATTTTCATAATTTCGTACGATATATTAGTTGCTTTTTGACAATTATAATTTCTAAAGTACATTTTTCTTACTAATAATTTAATGAACATCATTGTTTATGTTCAAATCTTAGGTGAATTAATTTGTAAAATCTAGTTTATATGTGCACTGTTGAATCTAAAATCATGGACTTACTAAATATTCCACATCCAATGCCAAACAAATGATCTTTTGGTAAATGGAACAAAATTCTAAATTAATTTTTTCAATAAGTAGAAATGTTTTTTTGCATTGTTAAATGATTTAGTAAAGTTAATCAAAATTTATTAATCTGAATTATATAATTTAATCTGCCAACATATACTGTTGACTGTAACTTATATTATTTTAATTTCTGGCAGATGTCGGCTGTTTTTCGGCAATAATAATGTAGGCATTACCTTTTTCTTGTATATTATATTCTAATATTTCAACTAAATTCATTATAAAAATAAAAGAAATAAATGCACCTTAAAAGAAAAATACATCTACCTAAGTAAGACATTTAATCAATTGTTCATAAAGTACAAAGAAAATAAATTTAAGAACGACGTCTAGTGACGGTAGAATGAAAATGATAAAATGGATTTTTAATTATTAGTGGATTTACAATAGGCTTTTAGATTTTTTTCTAATTCTTTTGTTACGAGTTTGATCTAACAACTTCCTTGGTAAGCTATTAGGATGGTCGGTCAGACAGTTTTTATGCTGCTGACTATGCCTGATTATTCTATTTTTATATTTATTTGTTTAACAACTAGAAATTATAGAAAAGCATAAAGCTAACACGAATATATCTCAAGCATAAGCTTTTATAAAAATCCGATGAGTTTTATTAACATTTTAAGCGTTCTGTAGGGGCCATAGATGGCAAATAGTGCGTTTAACTATTATAAATAAATAAATAACATACAATTTGTGAAAAATCATATTAGGTATCATAATATCAGCGCTTGTCTATTTGAATGGCCAAAACTAAACGAAATAATTCGCGAAGAATATGACTAATTAAATCCAAATAATTTAAAGATTCTAATGTAAAATAATATTAATGGCCAAATATAAAAAAATGTAATTTAGTTATTCTTCGCAATTTTTATCTATACTTTATATTGCTGATGCAATTACAGGTCAGGATTCAAACTTAAGACAATATTGAGAAGAATATTGATACAACCGATATTGAATATAGCAGTGACGACAATAACTAAAAAAGGAAAATGAAGAAACATTATAAAGAAATTGAACACGAAAAAGATTGAATAGATATTTAAAGATATTTTAATTATAATAAATATTATATTAATGTATAATGAAGTAAACAAATGATATGTATATACAAAATATGAAAATTGTTTCATAATCTCTCATACCAGACACCCCTTTCTGACAGATATGAAAATATTACTTTCATTTACTTAAAATAAAATACTTATATAAAATATTTATGTCTATGACATAATGCAATGATTAGTATATCATGCTAAGTTTAGAAAATCAGATTTTCATCACATTGAAAACAATATCCAAGAAAGGTAGTTCTAAAGTCCAAATTTTAGCCTATTGTAGGGATGAAAACAACATTTACCTTATAAGGACATTATAATACGACACGATATTATAATTTTGTCTTATTCGGTCCGTCAATGCACTTCATATATATTTTCATTAACCCTAATTGTAATATATAAAACTTATATATGAATTAATAATGTAATGATTTATATATTGCAGTAAGTTACAGTAATATAAATATAAAAAAATTAAATTTTCATTACATTAAAGGGGTATTCTAGTGTAGAAATTCAAAAAATTGATTTTTTTTTTATTTCATATTTTCAAAGTTTAACTATCTAAGAATATGGGTACGAGAAGGTTTTTGAAAATTTGAATTATTTTCGGAGATATAGGCATTTTACTGACTCGGACTCCATACTGGTTTGGCTTTACGCAAAATTTTAAATGTGTTTTTCTCAGAACAGACTTTTTCACTACTGTTGACACGATTTCTCGAGTTTTAATCGGCCGATTCGCTTGAAATGTTCAGAGAGTCTTGTTTATAGACTTATCTATAGCCCGAACTAGGATTATCCCCAAATTCCAATTTTTACTATTTTTAAAAAATTCGAGGAAGTCAAAAAACAGTAAAAAAAACATTTTTTCAAACAGTCGCCAAATTGTAAAAAAAAAATTTTTTTACTCATCGCTAGTTCGGGCGATTGCGACATCATTGTAGATTAATAATCATTGTATTTTTTACATTTCCGATGATAGGAGGGCTGAAATCATGTCAAGACTGAGGTGCCAATTTTTTGAGACCATCCACTCTATCAGCTGCCAGTTTTTACAATTTTCAACTTTTTTATTTTTGTTTTGTATTTTAATAATATTAACAAACAAGTGGTAAAAAATGGATAGTAAAAACATTCATTGCTTTCTTTTACGACACTTTAAAAATGACCTAAAATTCATCGCTCTACACTAGAATACCCCCTTAAGAAAATAATATACAAGTAGGTAGTTCTAAAGTAGGATGAAAAGTAGTAAGATGAAAAATTATTTACCTTATAACTTGTCCGTCGATGCACTTCATACGCCGGCTCTTAAATAAAAATTCACTCACTACCAACTTAAAATAATCTCAAAAAACACAAACGAAAAAACAAAACTAAAAACACATGCTATAAATAAAATAGCAACACTATTATATTCCGGTAAAACACTGTTTTCAATTACACATAAACACAGACCAACACAAAACAGAACTTAAAAAATCCCTTTATATTTAAATGCTCGAACTATAATATAAGGGCATAAATAACAAAATTTAGGCGTCGAATTTAATTTACAACAGCCACACGTGCTCAATAAGCCGAAGAGCAACCGTACACGTCATACACCGTACGCGTCTCGCGACTGACTGAAGTCAAAGCGGTGAGATACGCCTGTGGCCTGTGAAACATTCGGAATACTCGGCCGCTCTCGGGCGGAGATGAACGAGTCGGGACAAAGGAAATAAATATAATTGTTCGGTAATAAAATTGATTTGTAAATGTACGCAAGGATATCAAAAATTAAATTGTTGCTAGTACAAGAACATATGTTTCAATATTATAATATCGTTTCTTCTGTAATGAATTATTAGATAAACTAGTGGTGCATGGCATCGTGCCTTAAAGCAAATTGCTGCAATTTTCCGTACCATTTTTTTTAAAGATTAACATTTTTGAAAAAAAAATTACTTTGAAAAAATTAGATTTTTGAGAAACTTCAAATTTTTTAAAATAAATTATTTTTTTGGAAAAAAGACTTTTTGAAAAAAAAATGTATACTTTATTTTAAAATATTTTGGAAGTTCTGAACTTCTTATCAAAGCAATCGTACTGCTTTAGAAACGAAATATCAATATTTTTTACTTTTTTCAATAGATCTCCAAAACCGCTAGACCTTCATGAAAATTTAATCTTGTCAATTCAAGTAAAATGTTTTATGCCAAAACATGCCTATGCCAAAAACTAATCAGCGCGTCTCCTCATCAACAGCAATCAGATGTTTTTTGAAAAATTGAAATTGGTTGAACCGTGTTCCTGAAATCGTCGACAAAAATTTGTATCCGCACACACACACACACACATATACACATACATACCATTTTTTCTAAGGTATGCCAAAATGTTCAAAAACCTCTGGAACGTAAAGATATAAAAAATTCATTTTCGATTTTTTACGATTACTATAACTTACCCTACGGAAAGTTAACTAGTGGTGCATGGCATCGTGCTTTAAGGCAAATTGCTAGAACTTCCTGTACTAAAAATTGAAATGTTTAAAATTGGTTTCAAATAAATCAAAAAAATACATTTTTGTATTTTTTGAAAAATTTGCCTTTTTTGAAAAAGCAGTCTAACTTATGAATTGATACGAGAAATATAATTAGATGTGCTTATATCTAATGATCATTTTTGACCGCCAAATGGCATTTTTTTACTTTTTTCACTAGATCTCCGCAACCGCTAGACCTGCCTTCATGAAAATCAGTTGCTAATCTTGTTAATACAAATAAAATAATGTTTGAATCATTCAAATTAGAATCTCCATTCTCTCAAAAACTGAATTATCATTTTTTGCCATTTTTGCCCCGCATCTTCAAAACGGCTGCACCTACCTTTGCCTAAAACCAATCAGCACTACTCCACATAAATAGAAATCGATTGCTTTTAGAATCAATCAAATTAGGTGATCCAAACATACATACATATACACACGCGCATACATACATCTATTTTTTTATGGCAGTCAAAATATTCAGAAAACCTTGAAACGTCAAGATATGCAAAAATTTTCATTTTGGCCTTTTTGCGATTACTATGAGTTTCCCTACTGGAATATTATTTATACATAGTATATTGGATTATTTCAAAATTGTATTATTCGATAAATTATTAAATTTATGGTATTATTTTTTGATTTATTTTTGAAATTAAATTATTTTTTAACAGAATTTGGAATTCTATAAAAGCTGCTGTGATATATACTTTCACTAAAGGCCAGTAAAAGGCTATCGAATGGTTGTCATATACTATTTTTGATATATGTATTTCAAATACATTTGTATTTGTATTAAAAGGAAAACCAAGGCTTATTTTTACTTGATCTGCATATTCTAATGACAAAGGATTGTTATCCATTGATATTCTACTAAATGCTCGATTTGAACTCGGAATCTTGTAGTATTGAGGCTGTGTCTTTGCATCAGTCGAAATATTTAAGATAATATTTAAAATTATCATTAGCAAATTATTATAGTTTCTCTTGTATGAATTTCATTACATTAGCAATGATTATATCGTATAGGAAAGTAGATCTCTAGGCAAAAATAGTGTGTTTTATATATGATTTCAATCATACAACTGGCGATCATTTTATATATCTACAAATTTGCATATTTTGACGCGATGTCTGAAGCATTTATTTTCTAAATCTATAAACAATATTTAAACAATATCAATAATACCAAGTTGCAAATTTTTACGAAGAAACCGCGAGGATGATCTTACCAATTTCAACCCAATCAGCACCATTCCCGTATTTCGAAAAGTTCAAGTATTTGGGAAATAGGTTCTATTGGAAGTTCTTTGAAACTAATTATATATTTTCTATTGAAAAATAATTAATATTGTAACAGACATTTGGTAATAACGTAGTTAAAATTTAATTTAGAAATTAATGTTTTTTTAAATGTAAGCTGTTATCGCATTCTTACATAATACTTTGTTATTTTTTCTTGTTTTCGCATAATCTTGTTGATCTTCATGCAAATTTAAGTTAATCAAAGAAGGAATATTAAATATGAATAATTTATTAGACGGGTTTTTTGTTAGTCGGCCATTGGTATCTATCCTGCGTTACACTTATCGTTAGCAAAAAATGGGATAATTAATTATTCATTAATTGAAAGCTTGTGCTATGTTTTTGATGTATTAAATTTATAATTGGATAAAATTTATAACATTGTTTTTCATCAAAACGCATCTAATTCCAATTTTAGGTAGTTTTAATATAAATCAACTGAAATATCTTTATAATGTCATTAATGCTACTTAGCAGCTATTTAATTTTCAAGAACTAAAATATAACAGCTTGTTTTTAATATAAATGAAGCTGTTTTTCCATTGTACGCTCACACAAAAACACAACATAATTTCACACTTCACTCTCATAATTAATCACAAGCCAAGAAAGAATTTTTTGATCAAAATAAAAAAACTGCAATTAATTTACTATAATATATTTGTTTTTGCATTTGTTTCCCGATGAACTTTTATTATCTTTTCCTAAACAATGAAACAAATTTTCCATAAGTTGCTTATCGCCGGAATTCTTCTAATTATTATTTCCTTATGAAAGCAGAAGTGGAGTCTGTTTTCAGCCCATAAAGTAAACATATGGAAATTAAACAGTAAAAAGGGTAGAAGAAAGATAATATTTTGTAGGAAAAATACCATGAAAAACATTTTAACTCGGATAATTGAAAATTATTTTTGTTCCTATGTTTATGATCAAACATTTATTTATTTCGGTACGATATCAATATAATAACAAATAGTTTATTATAGTCAATGCAACATATATAATAGATGTTTTAATTTATATGATCATTCTTTGAATGAAAATCAATTCACAAATTTATTTAACTACAAGCCTACTAAATATAAAACAATATTGGCTTGACTACGTTGGTTTTGCTTATTACCTCACAATGACCAAGCAATGAAGTTAACGTAGTGTTTGATTATAAATTACAATTACAAATTGCCATTAAATTCTGCTTATGATCTAACTTTGACATTTGACTGGGTAATAAAATCGTCGGCAGGTAGGCCCTTAATCATCGAGTTTAATACACGGAGACGTCTGCGGTTTTGTTTGCAGCCTGTTCGCTGTACAATGTCTTCCTGAAGTTGTTACAGTTTATACTTGAGAAGTTGAGCGGTCCACACGTCAACAAGGGCAACTCTCATAAGCTCCCATTGTTAGCGAACCAGCCTGGTGTACTTACTTGTAACAACGATAGGATTCGAGCAATTGCTTATGAACTAAAACCACTATTTGAAATTGTTATACAATATTTTTTTTTTTTAATCTCATATATTAAGACTATTGGCAAATCAATAGAATCCACCGGTTTGCCTGTAATAACATTTAAAATGCATACATGATACTCTTTGTAAGTCGCAGGTGCATCTTGTAATGCTATAAATAGATTTTGAATTTGTTGATTTATTTATTTATTTATTTAGTTTCCATATAATTACAAGCTGTCTGGAATGGCAATCAGTAATTTTGGAGACTAATGTGTAAGATAATATTTAAAATTTTTACCCAGTGGTAATCGAAGTGTTCTGCAGATGTTTGAGGAAAGCAAGTATTTTGCAAGTTGATTTGCATGGTTTTCCAGCGTTGCCTTGTACTTGGTTGCATCTCATCGCATCAGCCAATTTTGGACTACCAAATACGTAGGTAATCGGCACCCGATACTTGGGAACTTTTATATTTTTTTAAGAATTTTATTGTGTGACCTTGGAAATAGAAGGAGCACATATTGCCATCTTATTAATTACCTCGTACTTCATTAATCTTGACAAAATAGAATTTTAAGTTGATGTTTCATACCGATAAAAATAAACCTAATATAGTCACCCAATAGCCAGAAAACTACGAAATAATGACAAAGTTAGAGTAAAAATATGTAAAATCTAAATCTACAAATTATTAATTGTAGCAATCAAGCTTTCATATTCAATGACTTGACTTTTAGTTCTCATATTCATATTTTTGCACAAATTGTCGATTGGCATTAGTCAACTAGTCATTATTACCCATTTGCGCAATAAATTAGTTTAATTTATTTATTTTCTCAATCGTATATAGATGAGCTGTTTCTACTTTCACTTTTCGTTTTATTTTCTCATATTTTGAGATGTTCAGTATTTTCAAAATAATTTTCAAATAATTTCGCAGATTTTGGCAACAATACTGGGCGTTTTTGTGCCTGTTCCATATTATCTCATATTCCAGATGAAGTATTTTTTAATTTCCTTTGTTAGTTGCATCTTTACAAATTATCAATCTCAGCAGTGTACTGCCCTCCACGACATAATATCAAGCAAACAGATTTTGAACAGTTTTTCCATCAATTGGGTGCGAAATTTCTTGTAGGTGGTGATTTTAACTGCAAGCACACTTCTTGGGGATCACGTCTGATCACAAGCAAGGGTAATGAGCTCCTGAGAACCTTAAATAATAATAATTATTCATTTCTGTCCACTGGAACCCCGACATATTGGCCTAGTGATCCTCAAA